ACAAAGATTTCACCGCACAGATCAGAAACCACTTGAGAGAGTTCAATCCAGGAAAGGGCCTAAAGATGCCACTAACTTAACAGTTAATCTCACTAATGTATCCTTGGTTAATGCTAGTAGCAATACAGAGACAGTGGTGAATTCTCAGAGAAATTCCCAACAGATAATTGTCAATCAAGGAGGTGACAACACATCAACTGCAAGACCCATTCAGGAAACAGGAGGACGTCGCCCTCTATTAGTACGTGGGCCACAAGGGGTTCGTAAAACCTCTAGCCTTCATAAAAGAACTTCAGAAAGAGCTTCCAGTCCCCAGACTTCAGAGGAGGAGGATGCAGTTGAGAGAATGGGATCAGAGGCTGTACTGGTGCCTCCATCACATCAACTAGTAGCTAGAAGTTCATTCCGTGAAAATCCAGCTAGTGGAGTTCAAGTTCAAGATGTTTCTGAAGGAGAGATGAGTGTTCCTGAAATTCATCAAGAACCACAGTACGAAGACCTGGAAGAGGGTGAGCTTAATGACCACTCTTTGTATCTTCATAACCATGGAGATGTTCTTGGTTCAGCTCGTCGTCAGGAAGAATCATCCATGCAGTACGTTGAGGAGTTTGTTGAGAGGGCAAGACATCATGAAGCGAGTTGTGAAACTGAAGTCTCAAAGGGGAATAATTTAAGGCGTTTATCTGCAGATTCTGGTGAAAAGGGTCCTTCAGAGGAAATATGGGATGTAACAGACCCATCTGTTCATGAACCTCCAAAGGCAGAAGCACCAGAGGAACTCAAAGGTACCAATGAGGCAGGAAGTTCAGTAGTTACCGAACGTTCTGAAATTAGGAAAACTGGGAAATCCATGTGGGCTGTCATCGGGGATATAGTTAGACTACGCTGGAGTTCACCACGTGCAGAAACCTCTAAATCAACAGGTGGGAAGACTTCGTCAAACGATACTGCTGCTAGCGAGGCATGGTTTTCTGGCCGTGATCCTGATGAAAATAGTGAAGGAACTCTAAAAAAGGATACAAGCAGTTCTGATCAAGTACTACTAAGCCACACCTCTAGTCAGAGGCGTGGACTAGCATCAGATACAGGTGAAACTAAAAGTATGGCATCTCCTTCAATCATATTGAAAAGTGGGTCGACCTCTAGAGGTTTTGCCTCTCCTGCCGGAGAAAAGGACCTTGACATTAGTCCAGATGGAAAGAGATCTCAAGTTGCTCCTTCTAGTGTTGGAGTTGGAGAAACACCGTCGATATCCTTGCCGTTAAGTGCACGGAGTAGTCCCATTGTAAATCAGAGTTTAGGTTCTCATAAAAGTGATGCATCAGCAAGTGGTTCTGGGGATAAAGATGGGGAGGCTAAAAGAAGGAAGCTTCAGCGGAACAAGCAGGTGATAAGAGATAGATTCGATGACTGGGAAGAGGCCTATATACGTGAAAGTGAGCAGCGTAAGATTGATGAGATGTTCATGAGAGAAGCATTAGTAGAAGCGAAGAAGGCTGCAGATATATGGGAGGTACCTGTTGGGGCTGTGCTTGTTCAACATGGCAAGATTATTGCGCGGGGTTACAACTTGTAAGTTCACATTTCTAGTTAGCAAAATAAACCTTTGTGGGTGGCGTTTGCTTAACTTCTTCTGAGGGTTTTGGATCTTGAATTGCAGAGTGGAGGAGTTGCGTGACTCTACTGCACACGCAGAGATGATTTGCATCCGCGAGGGTTCGAACCAACTTCGTTCATGGAGGCTTGCGGTAAATCTCGAGTTCCTCTTTAGTCTTTACCAAGCTTAATAGAAAGGGTTTTTTTTTTCCTGAAAGAAAATAAAAAGGTTGTAGATATTTTTCCAGTCCTGTACAGTGTATGATATCTCTGTGTTGTCCATGTTTTTGGTTCTCAGGAGACAACACTTTACGTAACACTGGAACCATGTACTATGTGTGCTGGAGCAATCCTTCAGGCAAGAATAGACACTCTTGTATGGGGAGCTCCCAATAAGCTTCTTGGAGCTGATGGTAGTTGGATTAGGTAAGTCACTTTCCAATCATTGATCCTTCATAATTGAGTCTAGTTGCTCAAAATCCGAAATGGTACTATTCTAAACATAATTGAGACCATAACTTGGGTTAGAAGGCATATGAGGAAATGCAAGCATTCATGAGCTAGAACAACCTTCTTGATGAATCAACACTGTCATTTTTTCTTTTTGCAGGATATTCCCAAATGGGGGAGGGAATGGGTTGGAAACGGATAAGCCAGCTCCCCCGGTGCACCCTTTCCATCCCAAAATGACGATTCGACGAGGTGTACTGGCAGCAGACTGCGCAGACGTTATGCAGTCTTTCTTCCAGCTGAGGAGAAAGAAAAAAGTGACGAATATAAAGGGAGAGCAGCAGCAGCAGCATTCTCCCCAGAATTCACTGGTGCGAGTCTCAAATCATCCATCGAAGGTTCTCAAGAAGATGCATGATATCTTCCACATCATGTTCTGTTTGTGAGATGGGACCATTTCCTGCATCATGTTCGATTTTTTTGGGCTGTGTAATGTAACTTAACAATAAGCCCTTATGTTGACTGCAAATTCATAATATAATTCCGACCACCTCTGTACCAGTCTGGAAAATTACAGGGATGATGTACATCGAACAAGTCAGTAGTACTTTGCAGTTTCCAACATAGTGGTGGACAATTTCCTCTCGAGGAGAACATGAACAAAAACAGCCCACCAGAAAAGCAGAATAGACTAATCTCCAGATCGTTACTCCCCAAAACGAGAACACCAGTGCTGCGTGCCCTATCATTTATCCCATTCCAACTCTGGCTGCAATTTCAGTTTTGCTGGATTCTCCACACCTTTCGCCTGGCGTGAAGTTAATCGATCCCAACCTATGATATGTGGCAAGGCAAACTGCACCAAACCCCAAAACACTGCTCAGAAACGTAACTCGAATGGCATCACAAATTGATCCACGATCAACAGAAAACAAAACTGCGATCTCGGAGCATCAAGAACAATTGTTTACCGAGATGACGCATACCAAAAGAAGGGCCTGAATTGATAACCTGGACTCAACTACCACATGTACATATTCACAAGTGAAAACCAGATTGTATGCACTACGAATAGGAGGGGTGAAGGGAGAGACAGGATCATACACTGCAAGCTGTCTTCAAAACTGCAAATTCAGCTGTTGTGACAGGAACAGTTACACGGTCATTGGTTTGGAGAATGTTGTTGACAACAGCTGAAACAGAATTAGCATTGATCCAAAACTATCGAGTTAGAACTAGAAAACCATCCCCTTAAACATCTACAGCAACCAAAGCCATAATAAGTAACCAAATTTTTGTGCGGATCATCAGATTGGAACTCTTCACGCTCAACGAGCACTGGAAAGTGGGAAAGCAATAAAAAAATCGATGACTACATGCAGACCTGCTACCTTGACAACACGGAATTACAAAGATACTCTAGTGCAACAATACTACCTCCGAGGTCTTTCGCCGCAAAATAAACTAGTAAATATTTGAAGTTTAACATTGCAGGAGAAAGCTCAAATAATGCATCATTCTTAGCAGTTAGCACAACAAGACAGTTGTCGTTTCTAAGGAAGCTGGCAGAAAATGCATTGGTCAAGATTGAAGAGCAAAGAAAGCTCATCCAATTCACTAATAAATGTAGCAAACGAAGAGGTGATGACGTCCAGTTAGGTTTTGAGGAGCTGGGGTTCAACTTGAAGAGGCAGAGAACCTATAGCCTTGAAAGTGAAAAAACGATGACACAGCCAGAGAGCTTACTCAGGGAAATGAAATAGCCGCTACCATCAGCATGAGGTTTAATTGACAAGGACTTCCTCACCTGACCAGCATTACTGCAATCACACAGGTTGGTCAAGTTTCAACACACAACTAACATAAAACAAGTTGGCAAACAAAGGAACGGCAAATGCCAACCTCGATTTCAAGGAGGGATCATGGAAGAAATCAGAGGAGTCTTTAGGACCCATGCTTATCAAAGACCCAACCTCTGTTGCCGACAGAGCAAACTTCTGCAAATGGCAGCACAGAAAAATAGGATTCAGAGCCTCGCAAACTTGCAGGAGGAAACAAAATTGGGGAAGTAAGGTGATGGTCAATCCTGTAAATGAAAAGCAAGTGATGGTAGTAGAACCTGTTTTTTCTCATAGTTATACTTGCGCTCACCGATGGCAGGCACGAAGGTCATCATCATGGTACCAGACCGGCCAACCTTAAGAGCTCCCGCCTGAAGAAGAAGGAAGCTCGACGCCAAAGTAGCAGTAAGGAATGAATCAGAAAAACAGGGTTTGCCAGATGATGGTGCTAAGTGCTGACTCAAACAAATTCACTTACGCCAAACTTTGTGAAAGTAGGGAGGACAGGCTCGACGGAAAGAGCAGCTTTCCCTTTGTAGACTGAGAACGGTGCATATATCCGATCCCCAGCAAAATTATCTACAGTAACAGCACACAACAAAAAAAGCCCCAACTTTCAGTGGGGGATATAGTGCGGGAAGAAAGAAGGAACTACGGAGATCAAAGAGTGGTACCGGCGTTGCCTGCAGCAGCGGTTGATATGGGAGATTGGTGGCGAAGAAGAGCGTCTCCGGCGATGGCTGATTTCCCAAGTGAAGTGCTCCTGCGGAAGCAAATGGCGAAGCGATTATGGTCAAAATGACCACCACCATCATCAGAAGAAGAAAGAAGAGTTGGTGGGTTGGGCTTCACCTGGTGGAGTGAAGTTGCTGGAGGAATCGCGTCGAAAGCTTCATCATTTTCTTCTTCTTTCGGAAACACAGCAGCTAGGGCTTTGCTTGCGAGTGACTGTGTCAGTGTGCTACTGAGCACTGAGCCAAATCCGAAGGGATTTTGATTTTCTTTCCGGAAGGAATAATTGCGGGAGGATGGGAGGAAAAGGAAAGCAAGCGGCCACCCACAAGCGTGTGTTTTGAAGTTTCACTTCTCATTATAAATGGGTCAACCTAATTTCTTCCTTATTAATTTTGATTAAATTACATATATAACCTCTAAACAAATCTTCCATATACCTAATAGGCTAATACCAGCAAGCATTTGTATCTCGCAGAAGGCAGAACAATAAAGACGGTAAGAGTACCTGGTCACAAGCTCTGCAGCTTCACGATTTCAACCGATTTGGCTTCAGATCCTGTCAGGAAACTGAACTGAGATTAATCAAGGAGATGATGCACGATGTAACTACGCAGTATCCCAACTGCATTCCCCAAGTTCGAGCCAAGTAGGAACAAGTGGAAAACCTGGCACTGTGTTCAAGTTAAACGTGCGAATAAGAAAACAGAACCCAAGGTGTTTGTGTACAAGCAGATAACCTGAAACGAAGGGCTACAAGATGCTAATGGCTTTGCTTCCAAATGCCTGATGTAGGAAGGGGTGCCTTCCAGCAGAACCAGTAAAGCAGGTTGGAAAATGAACACAATGTTCTTGCTACTGCCATTGGATTGATCATTGACATCCAAGAGATTCATCACCAGTAGTCCGAACAAGAGCACGAGCCATCTTTGAAATGGTGGAAGCGGAGCTTATCACGAACAACTATTTCCCTTCCAGTAACAAAGGAGATGTATTTGATTGCGGAATGGCAGTCTTCACACATTCTGATGTTCTTGACTACCCTGATGGTGGATCCAGGGGCAGTTTTCAGCAAACCGAAAGCAATTGCAAGCTTCTCGCTGTGGTACCTAAGTGCATATTCCCTCTCTTCCTCTTCTACTTCATGCATCGCCAACTCCAGTACTGATACGTAGCCCGCTTCTGCACATTTCGACATCAGTTCATCTAAATAATTGAAAATGGCATTCGACTCGGGATGAGACTTGTCCCCCATGCTGAATAAGTATGACCTGCCATCAATCTCTATGATACTATACCCGACTTGCTTTCGTAACGATTTGTGGATCATTTTATCTCTGATCATTTCCACTCGGTCCATTCTTCCCGCTGAAGCATATATATTTGAAAGCAGGACATAGTGGCCATGGTTTTCAGGTTCAACGGCTAACAGATGCTCCGCGACTTCTGCTCCGAGATCGAAATCCTTATGCATCTTGCAAGCCCCAAGCATTGCAGTCCAAATTGCAGGAGCAGGGTGTGGTGGAACTGATTCCTGAATGAACTTATATGCTTCACTAAGAAGTCCAGCACGCCCTAGAAGATCAACCATGCAAACATGATGTTCCACACCTGGAATTAAGGAATGCTCTTCCTTCATGCTGGCAAATAACCGACGTCCTTCATCCACTAACCCTGCATGAGCGCAACCGGATAACACAGCAACAAAGGTAACACTATTAGGAGAAAACCCGCTAGTCTTCATTTCATCAAACAACCTCAGTGCTTCCGGGCCATAACCATTGGCTCCATAACCGGAAATCATAGCTGTCCAAGCAACTACATTCCTCTCCCTCATCGAATCAAAAACTTCTCTTCCTTTCTTCACATCTCCACACCTTACATACATATTGATCAAAGCAGTCCCAAGCACCACAGTCATAACCAACCCATTTTCGACCACACAGTCGTGCACCCAACGACCCAGCCCTAGTTCCCCTAACTGCGCACAAGCTGCCAACACAACCACACATGTAGTAGTATCCGGCGCAACAGACCCCGTTTCTCTCATTCTATCAAACAACTTAATCGCCTCTTTTGCAAGCCCATGTTGCTCATACCCTGAAATCAAAGAGTTCCAAGCCACAGCACTTCTCTCTGGCATTTTCTCAAACACCTTGCCCGCATCACTCAACTGTCCGACCTTCGAGTAGAAAGCCACCAGTGCAGATTGGACATACACATCCACTCCGTACCCATTAACCAAAACATGTCCATGCACGATCCTGCCGTGCTTCCGACTCAATAAACTCGTGCAGGATTTGATAACAGAAGTGAATGTATAATTCGAGGGCTCAACTTTGCACATGATCATGCACGAATAGTAATACAGGGCATTTGCAGATAAATGCTGGAACCTGGAGGTTGATCTGATGAGAGTGTTGAAGAGGAAGGCGTCCGGATTTGGGACGGAGAGGAATATCCTGTGCGTATAGGCAATGGAGCAGCCGGCATTGCAAGCCAGAGTCAGGAGCTTTGTGAGGAGGGAGCGACTACTGCCACATCCTAATGTGATTATGTGGGCGTGAGCCTGCTGGAGAGGTTTCAGTCGCGGCCCAGCTCGAAGGAGGTAAGTGTAGACTGGAGACCGTTGGAAATTACCTCCCGGCGCCGGCGCCGGCGCCGGCTCCTTCAGAAGGCTGCCGTGAGATTGAAGTTCCATGAAGGCGTGAAGTGAGCCAGAAAATGGAACAACGTTCGATTTTTTTGTGAAAATTGAGTAGAGAGTTCAATTCCTAGCTTCTCTTCTCCGACGAAATTCGACTTTCCTGAGGGTCAATTACATAGTTGGTCCCTGAACTTGTAAATAAAAGGAGGTTTAATTAATGAGAATGAGAATGGTGATTTGACTGATTAATTAATAAAAAATTATTGTTGAGGTGGCCTTAAGAAACCGTAACCAAGCAAACTTGTAAACAATTTATATAATATAATAATAATAATAATATATCACCAATTATAAAGACATTCTGGTATATAGTTCAACAACTAAAATCAACTCGTTGATTGACGATTAAAATAAAATCATAAAACGTTTGGCACGTTATAAAACAGATAATTCTATATATATTGGGCTAGAAGGATTCAGCTCAGCATCAGTCTAACTCCCATGCAGTCTATACGTCGTCCATGATCCACAAGGAGACGTGTAGCAACTCGACCATTAATAATGTAACCCTAGATGAATATGGAGTAGGGTATAAAAGCACTTGTAAGGCATTGCGCCACAATCATCAATAAGATCACTGCCTCTTTCCCGTGGACGTAAGCCTCACCCACTGTGAGGAAGAACCACGTTAAACAAAGTCTCGTTTACATTCTCGTACTATTTTACATGGTATCAGAGCAATCGCTCTAGGTTGACAATCAATCTCTTCAATCATGGGATCCGACGATGATTCTGATTCCAAGAACAAATCGCCCGTCGGCAGTTCCGGGGCTAAACCTGAGCTCTCCTCCGTGTATCAGCTGAGCAACACGGATGGACCAGGCAATATGTTGGTAGGTGATGTCTTGACATCGTCAAACTACGGGGAATGGGTTCTAGATATGAAGGACGCACTCCTCGCCAAGAATAAGTTTGGATTCATGGATGGTTCCCTCTCCAGACCTAGAAATCCTCTTGAAAAGGATGCTTGGATTCGCTATGACGCGATGGTAAAGGGATGTCTGAAAACTTCGATGGACAAAGAGATTCGAAGCAGCGTCTGAATCGCAGAAAGTGCTCAGGAAATTTGGTCCGATCTCAGAGAACGGTTCGACCAGGGAAGCTCTTCCCGAGCCTATGAACTGCGCAGGCTGATAAGTCCCCTTCAGCAAGAGAAGCGCTCCGTTTCTTCATTTTATACCAAGCTACGTTCGTTTTGGGAGGAAGCCTCGTCCATAGCTCCTCTACCGACGTGCATATGTGGCCACTGCACGTGCGAGGTGTCCAAGCGGGTTCGGGAACAACAAGAACACTCAAGGCTGATGGATTTCCTCATGGGCCTCGACGAAGCTGTTTTCGGCACGGTACGCACACAAGTCTTGGCGATGAAGCCAACGCCAAACTTGACCGAGGCTTTCAACATAGTTCTAAACGCGGAACATCAAAAGCTGATTTCGCAAAACCGCAAGATTCGGCCCGAGGCAGCGGCGTTCGCAACGCAGGGTGACTCTGACCGAGCTGTTCGTGGTGCGGGTGAGCAGAAAGAGCGGACACGCTGTTCTCACTGTCAGAAACTCGGACACCTCAAAGAAACCTGTTGGGAGTTAATAGGCTATCCCCCTCGCGATCGATCTGGAGATCGTGATCGACCAGGCCAAGGGGAATGTTCGGGAGATCGGCAGAGGCGTCGAGGGCGTGAAGGAGCAAGGGGTGAACACCAAAGTCGAGAGCCAAAGGCATCTCCGGTGGAGTCAGAACCAAGCCCCGTGCCAGGCTTCACTGCCACTCAATTAAATCAACTTAAACAATTCTTTGGACTACAAGGCAAAGGAACTGATGATCATGATCCAACATCCCACATGGCAGGTAATGTTTTTCATACTTCCGAATGGTTAATTGATTCAGGTTGTAATAAGCACATTACTATGGATGGATCACTTTTGTCAAGTGAAGAGAGTCATCATAACAACCAACCCGTTCGTATACCCAATGGTGAGAGTATCCCGGTGAAACGGGTAGGATCGGTGGAACTCCAGTCTGGTTTTCATTTGAACAGAGTACTTCATGTGCCGGAATTTCAATGTAATCTAGTTTCAGTAAGTAGGCTGACAAAGGATAATCATGTGGCTTTGGTTTTTCTTGATGGTTTATGCGCTTCAGGACTTACACTCCAAGAAATTGATTGGGATGGGTGAACTGTGAGATGGCCTATATTACCTACGACTGTTTGGAGTTGGAAACACGCAGGCGTGCACGGTTCAGCAGCGCAGACCAGTGGAGAGTGCTGATTGGCATGCACGATTAGGGCATCCCTCACCAAAAAAGCAATCATATGTTAGTCGTTTGATGTCGGTACCTTTTCAGTTAAGTAAAGGCCCCTGTCATTCTTGTTCACGGTAAAACAGTCGAGACTACCTTTTCAGTCAAGTGCCATTAAGACTACTATGTGTTTTGAGATGATACATGTTGATCTTTGGGGAAATTATAAGATTGTGTCACTCAGTGGCGCACATTATTTTTTGACAATTGTGGATGACTATTCACGTGGTGTTTGGGTATATCTATTACGTTATAAGTCAGATGTTGAGCAGTGTCTACTGCAGTTCTTACAGATGGTACGGTTGCAGTTCAAGACAGGTGTAAGACGAATACAAGCAGATAATGGTCATGAGTTTAATACTGAGACATTACGAGCCTATTATGCACGAGAGGGGATATTATTGCGAACATCGTGCACTGACACGCCACAGCAGAACGGTGTTGTCGAGTGAAAGCATCGACACATTCTTGATATGGCACGGGCACTCCGTTTTCAGGCTAGTTTGCCTCTTCGTTTTTGGGGTGAGTGCATATTGACGGCAGTATACCTCATAAATCGCTTACCGACAAAGGCTACTGGAAAGACACCCTTCGAGCTGCTTTTCAAGAAAGTGCCTACATATCGACATCTACGAGTTTTTGGATGTTTGACCTACTATAAAGATACACATGCTCACTTGGATAAGTTTGGTGAACGTGGACAGGCTGGATTATTCTTGGGATATGCATCTAGCCAAAAAGGGTATCGTATTTATGACTTGCGATCGCGGCGGGTCATCACTTCTAGAGATGTGCAGTTTCATGAGCACTCATTTCCTTTTCGAGATCATATGCAACGTGAGTTGCATTGGATCCCTCGTCCATTTGTAAGCGGATCTGACGAGCAGCAGGATGTGGCCGTGAGCGCACATTCCGAAGACTCTCCCTCACCTCTTGCCAGGCGGATCCCAGTCAGCCCATGTCGACATCACAAATCACCATTGACAACTCTCCTGGCACGGATCCACCTCTCGAAGATAGCTCACTCGCCCAGGATGAAGCAAACATGATCAACCACGAGCCTCCACCTGCTCCCACTGTTCGGCGCAGTGATCGGGTGCGGACAAGACCCAAGCACTTGGATATATATAAAACGGACTACCCCGGCAGTGAATCACAGGGAAGTAACTCTAACCTTGTGCATCACCCTTTGGCTGCTTGTGTAAATTATGATGGCTTTACACCGACTTTTCATGCTTTCCTTGCAGCAATTACCCGCGAAGATGAGCCGCGGTACTTCCACGAGGCTTTCAAAGACTCTCGTTGGAGAGAAGCGATGCGCAAGGAGATCACAGCTCTAGAGCAGGATGGGACGTGGAGCTTGGTGGTTATCCCGCCAGGAAAGCGTGCCATAGCGGCCAAATGGGTGTACCGGATAAAATACTTTCCAGATGGGAGCATTGAGCGCTTCAAAGTGCGATTAGTGGCGAAATGATATACCCAGATTGAAGGACAAGATTTTCATGATACGTTTTCCCCTGTAGCAAAGCTTGTCACAGTCAGATGCCTCATTGCTGTTGTGGTAAGCCGGGATTGGCAACTCCATCAGCTCGACGTAACGCATTTCTTCACGGAGATCTCGATGAAGAAGTATACATGGAAATTCCTCAGGGTTTTTGTACACCAGGCGACACCAGAGTTTTCCGGTTACATAAGTCACTTTATGGGTTGTTCCAGGCTTCGTGCAACTGGTATAAAAAATTCACTGCCGAGCTGGTGGAGTTTGGCTTCCGCGCTTCGCCAGCTGATGCGTCCCTGTTCATCTACCGGAAGGGACGCACTCACGTTGCTGCACTCATTTATGTCGATGATGTGCTATTGACAGGAAATGACTTACCGTTCATGATCCGTGTCAAGAAATTCCTCGATGACCGTTTCAGTATCAAGGATCTTGGCCCACTCCGATATTTTTCGGGTATCGAGTTGGAACTACTAGTGGAGTTGTTATTAGTCAGCGAAAGTATGCTCTTGACATACTGGAGGATGCCGGGGTCCAGGGATCACGACCCAGTGCTTTTCCCATTGAGCAGAATCATCAACTGACTCGCCCAGTGGAGGATGCGCTCGCTGATCCGTCTCTCTATTGTCGTCTGGTGGGGCGACTACTCTACTTAACCATCACCAGACCCAACATTACTTACGTGGTGAACATACTCAGTCAACATGTTCATTCGCCCAGCCAGCTGCATCTCAATGCAGCCTATCGTGTTCTTCGGTATCTGAAGTCCTCCCCTGGCCAAGGCCTGTTTTTCCCGAAGGATAACCCTCTGCGTCTCACTGCCTACTGTGACGCAGATTGGGGAGGTTGTCAGAGTACCAGACGCTCCACAACGGGATATTACATCATTCTTGGAGGAGCTCCTGTTTCCTGGCGCACCAAGAAACAACGCGTTGTTGCCCGGTCATCAGCAGAGGTCGAATATCGTGCCATGGCTAGCACCGTAAGTAAAATTCTCTGGCTACGTTAGTTGTTGGAGGAGCTCGGGGTACCCCAGGATGGCGCTACTCCTCTTCACTGCGACAACCAAGCGGCGCTACACATTGCCAATAATCCCGTCTTCCATGAACGAACTAAACATGTGGAGATGGACTGCCATTTCGGCCGAGAACGTGTTCAGTCCGGACCGATTTTGCCATGAAGGTGCATACTGATCTCCAGCTTGCGGACCTCCTCACTAAAGGACTTGGTGCTGCTCGCTTTCATTTCCTTCTCTCCAAACTGTACGTTCGTAACCTCCACGCGCCAGCTTGTGGGGGAGTATTGGGCCAGAAGGATTCAGCCCAGCATCAACCTAACTCCCATGCAGTCTATACGTCATCCATGATCCACAAGGAGACGTGTAGCAACTCGGCCATTAATAATGTAACCCCAAATGAATATGGAGTAGGGTATAAAAACACTTGTAAGACATTGCGCCACAACCATCAATAAGATCACTGCCTCTTTTCCGTGGGACGTAAGCCTCACCCACTGTAAGGAAGAACCACGTTAAACAAAGTCTCGTTTACATTCTCGTACTATTTTACAATATATCACGACAAACAAAACTTGTGAGAGTAAAAAAAATGGGGCAATCTCCATTCTTAGTTCCCCTCCAAAATGATTTCACAATGAGCATCCGACATTGTAGTTCGTTACAACATTTTTTTTATGTCCATCACACTTCGCATTTCCCTCAATGCAACATGACTCCCCTTTCTTTTTTTATTTATTTATAGAAAACTCCCCTTTCTTGTTAGTATATGAAAACGATAATTTTAGAAACAGGCTAAAAATGTTTATTATAAATGAGTCATTAATCATTTGCTCCATCAATATTGATTTGTAGGGGTCTACATGGGTCGGGTGGTTCGGGTTTAATCATTTAAATCATCCGACCCATGCACTACGGTTTGGGAAATATCAAACCCAAACCCACCCAAAAAAATTTAAACCCTACGGTTTGTTTCTAGTTGGGTCGGGTTGGCGATATTTTTAAGTAAAAACCCAACCCAACATAAAATATATAATTATTCTACATCATAAAAATATTTTATAACTAATTAAAATTTCAAACGAATGAACCAAAGTGAAAGGTATCAAAATTCACAAATGTTATTTAAATTTTAATAAAATGTGATTTACTTCAACATATGTCTTGTTTTTTTTCACGATATTTGTTGAAATAGGCTAAAAATGTTATAAACAAACGCATTCATCATATGTTATTCTATTAAAATTGTACACAAGAAAAAGGATTACGTGAATCATAACTATATTCAATTTATGTCTAAACTTTAAGTCGAAAAATGCATTAGATTAGGGAGACCATGAGAGAAAAACATGGCGAAATATCTTAATTTTCTCATAAGTATATGACTATATACGACATAAATATTTTTTAGATCCGAACTCATACTAATAGTTGGAACACGGGTTGGGTCGGGTTCTACGAGTTATGTAATCCAAAATCCAAACCCAAGGAGGCGGGTTGTACAAAAGAAAACCTTCACCCAACCCAAAACCTTCGTTTTAGCGATAAATACGGGAGGGTTAGATCGGGTTGGACGGATGGGACGGATGGGTAGGTTTGCGGGTGTATTTCTTCACCCTATTGATTTGTAGTATCATCCATATGTTAAATTACTATCAGAAAGATAAAAACGAGTGAACAAAGGTGACAAAGTGTGAACCAACAGAGTAACCATTTTTGAAAGACGCGCCAAAAACTAGCATTGATGGACAAGCAAGCAAGACTTACACGAGATCGATCAAATGAAAAACACTAGGTAAAATGTCGAGCCTTCCAAGGACGCTATCAATACAGCAACCTAGCGGATCAATGGCAAGGAAGTTGAAGAAGAGCACGCCATCGAAACAAAACAGAGGGGGAGGAGAGGTAACCGCCGGCCATGGCTGCACATCTAGGGACAGATTTGCTTTTCTTCTCTGTTCCTCTGTTATCTTTTGATGACGAGCAACTGGTATTTACATTTCACCCAAAGCCAAAGTGTATCGGTGACAAAAGTCGAAACAGATGATAAAACCGTGAATGTTGAAACTTCTGAATCCTCCTTCTAAACTCAGACAGATCCACCTTACCTACGTAAAGTATTGTCTTGGTGTTAGGAGCAACATCTCGGTCACTAGGACAGCAGGTGAAATGAACTTGTCATCAGAATCAAGCCCATCTATCTTTTATTGCCAGAATCATCAGTGGTAAGCCGTGAATCGTTTTCAGAACGACAAAAAATGAGTAAATACAGCAGAAAGCATGCAACTTTTACACCACCACCACCAAATCGGCATAATACAGGAAAGAAAGAATGGGAGGGTCTGACTCTTATCTGTAAAGTCATTGCTGGTAACTGAAAATCCACCAAACATTCATCAACAATGGCCCCAAATAATGTAGTTAAGCAAGTTTATTGCAAGGTTTGAGGAAGGAATTCTGTTGGTTTCCCTTCAGGACCCACTACCTGCATCCATTTTGACACGATGATGAGAAGCTATAATCGAAATCATTAGTAGCGACGTCGCATTCCAACCTTGAACACTACATCGCTCCCTCCACCTTTCACCAAACATTCTTTTCAATGTTTGGTCTTATATAACCTTCACTACCTGGTCTCTCTCTGAATTCTCTCATCACAGCAGCAAAATGTCTTCAATGTTTTTCTGGGTTTTCATCTTGGGTTGTGTTGGTGGTTTCCACTTGGCAATTGTCAATGGCCAGACTCCAGCAGCATCACCTTCAACCTTACCTATTACTCCTCCGCCTATAACCACCGTTCCTCCCCCTACAACATCATCACCACCACCGTCAACCCCAGCAGTACCGGCGCAGTCACCGATCCCTGCAATGACTCCCATCTCACCACCATCTCCAAAGGCAGCACCAGTCGCCGTGCCAACTGCCCCACCTCCTCAATCGCTTGCGCCTGTGTTTGCACCAGCAACACTACCACCATCCCCGGCACCTGCAAAGGCACCACCAGCCCCGGTTAGTCCCCCACCACCGGCGCCAGCACCAGCACCACTGACTCCACCACCAGCTCCTGCACCAGCACCGCTGACTCCACCACCTTTGCCACCACCAGCACCAACTCCATTATCGGCGGTGCCTTCACCTGCTCCAGCTGCACACAAGCACAAGAAGAGGCCCCACAAGCATAAGAAGCATCATCATGCCCCAGCTCCAGCCCCGAAGCCCCCTAGCCCACCATCCCCACCTGTCGTGACATCTTCTGATGATGACACAGCTCCTGCTCCATCACCAAGTACGGTATGTTCTCCTTTATCAAAGTAAGAACCCTATGACCCTATGCATTTCAAGTCACTCCTAATGACCGTTCCCTTGATATTTGTGCATGCAGAATGGGCAAGATTCACAGTATCTGAGGGGAAGAATGACAACAATGTGGGCAAGAACTGGACTAGCTGTGGCACTTCTGCTGGCTGCTGCAGGCTAGGCAGCTAAAGATCATTGAGGTGCTTATGTTTGAGAGCCATGGATTTATTTCCTTCGGAAGGAAATTGTTTTGTGTGTGCAAACCAAAATAATATCTCATGTTATTAGGAACAGTAATGCAAGAGCACAGCCTCAAAACTGTCCAAGCTCAGTATCCACATTTTTGTATTGTTTAATTCTTGGATCTGCCAGTATGCAAGATTAAATATTCTCGTTACATTATAAACATGAGAAGAACGAGGCACGTACAAGATCTATCTTTGGTTATCAAACTTCCTCTGCATTTGGTTCGGGCTTAATCTCCTCCCGTAGATCATACTCAACTATGAGACCAAGATTATCAGCTAATTTATGATACTGCTCACATCCTGCACACTGAAGAGGGAAAATGTAAATTCAAGCGTTAGCTCTTCCAGCATTTTCTATCTTCCTTTCAGAGGCTAAAGATCATACTGGTTTTGCAAGAACCTTGGCAAAACAAACATGCAAGCACTGTTAATTGAGTTCAAACTATACTCCTAAAAGTTGCAAATGCACATCTGAATAATTCATGAAGTCCTGTGGCATCAGAAAGTTCCATTGCGACGGTAGGGCGATGCAATTAGGTTGTTCACCATATTCAAGAAAACCAGAAAGAACTGAATTTGTGCAAGTGATATTAAAATCAAGTTCCAGTACCTGCACAAAGACAAGCCCCCTCTCATATGCCAGACGATTGATAAGCCTTTGTGTTCTTTCACCACAATCATTGCAAGTGAATTGCACAAGCAAACTCCTCCTCGGCAATTTTATGTCCAGTGTTGCAGCCTACAATGATGAAGGGTTCAATTGTGCTAGTGAAGATGCAGTTAAGCAATCAAATTCATGTGTTCAGAGCAGAAAGGTGCTAGCATACCCCATCAGAAGAATTGCTTGGTTCAGCTTCGGAATTGGTCCCGGAATCTTCATCAGCCGCAGCAGTAGCCACCAGTAGCCTAGAGCGGCGCTGCAGTTCGACTGCCTTCTGTGAGATTCTCAACCTGCCATAAAAATTTACACTTTAAATGAATACTGTTATTAAGTCGTCGTCGACCCAGTTTTTCATGGGGGGCTGAAATTCAGAAGAAGCAATCTAGGGTTTGGGAATAGCAAACCTCGGAAGGCGGAAAGCTGAAGCCTTTGTGCTCGAGGAAGAAAAGGGCTCGAAGGAAACGCGGCAAACCGGCCGCCGTGAAGGTCTGAAAGTTGAGCTTGGGATGGCAGTTATGGCGGGAGAGGAAATTCCATGTGCAAGTGCCTTCATGTTTTATGAACTTCCCAGTTCAGATTTCTCTCCGAAGAGCGTCTAAAAGATACTTGCTGAACTTTTATGAACAAACGGGATACAAACTGGCGACTTTCAAATTCGGGATTTCATATCCCAAGTTATTTCCAAACTTGTTTATATGTGAAGATAAAAACTTCCAAAATCGGGACCTCAAATTCCAAACTTGTTGTATGTACTCATGATCCAATCCTAATGGGCAAACTGGGTTTCTTGGCAAATTGAATTTGGGGTAACAGAAAATGGAAGAAGCATTCCAAGATCCCAGCTTTAGGGCAACGAAAGTCAACTTAGTTATGCTGCTCACAGCATAAATTGTGAGTAGATACTCACACGGTGGATCTATTGTCCACGAGGGCGAGACTCAGATGGCGCCGGTTTGGGTTGAGAAAGGTGAGTCGGTTTGGGTTGGCTGGCCAAACCCACGACTGACCCACCACAAATTCAAAAACCCACCACAAATTCAAAAACCAAAAATTCAAAAACCAAAAATTCTTTCCCCAAATCAGTTTCTCCGCCAGAACCACTTTCCCCTCTCTCCCCCTTTTCCCCTCTCTCTCACTTTCCTCCTCTCACGAACACGACGAAGAAGCAGCGATTTCACGGCGACCATCAGCGAAGCGGCGGCGACGGACCTACGAAGCGGCGGCGAGGGTGCAGCGTAGCGGTGGTTGGTTTCGGCGGCGGCGACGAGGGTCTAGACTAATCGGCGGCGACGAAGGGCAGGGTTTCGGCGGCGACGAAGGCCGGGATTTCACGTCGACGAAGCTTGTGTTGACGGCGGCGACTTTGCAGACTAATCGGCGGCGACGAAGGGCGGGGTTTCACGGCGACGAAGTAGCGGCGGTTGGTTTGACGGCGGTCGTTGGAGAAAGAACTACTTTGTGGACTAAGGTAACTGTCTTATTTATTCTGTTCGGCAAGATATGCATTCTGTTCCTTCTGGATATCCGTTGTTTATTGCCTGGGTTGTTGTTTGATGTATCTTGATATTGGTTTTGTTTGAGCATGATATCAGTTATGACTTTCTTGGATAGTTGTTTGATAGGATCTGCACAAGAAGCAGCTCGAGGTCAAAGCAAGGCGAGGTACAGATTTCGGTGCACTCTAAATCTCTGCTACATGTTATAATCTGTTTTGTGTGCGTTCCGATATTATTTATTTTGATTCTGGATATCCATTGTGTTTTGCTTGGATTGTTTCTTTGATATATCTGGATATTGGTTTTTACTCAGCATGATATGGGTTCTGACTTGCCTGGATAATTGTTTGATATATCTAGATATTGGTTTTTAATCAGCATGATATCAGTTGTGACTTGCCTGGATAATTGTTTGATATATATGGATATTGGTTTTTATCAGCATGGTATCATTTGTCACTTGCCTGGATAATTGTTTGATATATCTGGATATTGGTTTTTGATCAGAATGATATCATTTGTGACTTGCCTGGATAATTGTTTGATATATCTGGATATTGGTTTTTGATCAGCATGATATCAGTTATGACTTGCATGGATAATTGTTTGATATATCTAGATATTGGTTTTTAACCATCATGATATCTGTTGTGAATTGCTTGGATAATTGTTTGATATATCTGGATATTTGTACGTGCAGGGATAAAAACGAACGTGAAGAGACAGCGACGAAATCCACCGCCGTCACCACCGCCACAGCCAGAGGAGGATGAGGAAGAAGAAGATGCTGAAGTCGCAGCGCAAGTACATGCACAAGGAGTAAAGACCTTTAGATAGGGTTCAGTTTTCAAATACTGATTTTGTATCCGATTGAAGATGTTAGGAGTAAAGACCTTTGCCGCATGTTGTAGGAACGGGCTATCCTCCATCATAATATAAGGAACCGATTGTTTCCCATTGTAGTCTGACTCAGTCTCCTTGCGTCTTTTTTCAGCCAACAAACTACATTTACAAAGCACGAGAAAGAGTTTAGTGCCCAGACTAATATCCACTCAAACCAATACTAATATCCCAACTAAACAAAGTAATATCTAACAATAGCATATAAATATCCGGACAACGCTGACAAATATCCAAAATTTAAGTAGACTAATATCAAAGAAAAGCAAAGAAATATTCTGCGTACCTGCTAAAGTGAATGAAAAACAAGTCCAAATCATTTTCAAGAAAAGTCGCACTTGTGCATTGCACGACTCGCTGGCTTGCGTAGTCAACATCCCGACTGTGAATTGATCTCTCAACCATAAGGAACACCATCGACGACGAAAACCTACAAACATCCCTACACAAGACAACTATTAATGACAATGCATAACTGAACGAGTGTCGAAAAAACTTAAGGGAATTAGGAATTGATATTATGCCAACACATGTCAACAAATATCTGTAAAACTCAGACTAGTATCTCATAATGTCATACCAATATTCGTCCTTTTACAAAAACATATCCTGTCAGGCCATGTCAATATCGGCCCAAAAAACTATCCCGACAATGAATTGATCTCTCAACCATAAGGAACACCATCGACGATGAAAACCTACAAACATCCCTGCACAAGACAACTATTAATGACAATGCATAACTGAACGAGTGTCGAAAAAACTTAAAGGAATTAGGAATTGATATTATGCCAACACATGTCAACAAATATCTGTAAAACCCAGACTAGTATCTCATAATGTCATACCAATATTCATCCTTTTACAAAAACATATCCTCTCAGACCATGTCAATATCGGCCCAAAAAACTATTTTATGAGCCTTCAGCCCATGGGCCCTCGGCGGGCGGCCCTTACTAGGCTGCAAGCCACCATCCCAAAATCTTCCTTCCTTTTTCAAGTTCCCACCCAAAATTCCGGGCCGCCCAAAACACTGCCCACTTCCCACCCTAAAATTCGGGCCGCCCAAAAAACTACCCACTTCCTCCGCCCAAAAGTTCGGCTCGCCCAAAAAAAGGAAACGACCCCCCTCCTCTCTCCTCGGCGGATATATGTGTCTGTGAGTATCTACTCACAGTTTAACCTGTGAGCAGTTTAACTTTTTCGAACGAAAGTCTGTTCTTGTTTTTACTCATTTTCATTCCCCACGAATAAATTCTGTGTACAAAAGTAAGTATGAAAGGCACAACAATGAACAACTTCCTTCTTCTACAACTACTACAACTTACTCCCATTTCCTTCTCTTCCTCCAAGTTCCTTGGAATCAATAAAAAAGGAACAATATGATGCCTTGTGTGACAAACAACAACGATGACATCTCTTAAGCATAGGGATCCAATCATCCCATAAGGTCCTCTACTTTAATTTATCCCACAAAGAAAAGGGAAAGTTCCATGATCCCATTCCGAAACCAAGCTGAGCTAGTGTAAATCAGGCACCTCAGCTTCCAATTTGGCAAGCAAAGGAATAATGGGCACCAATGGTGGTGCAGAGAGGGCAAAGCAAATGGCATCTTCTATCTTTCTATCAGTCAATCTTCTTCATCTACTTCATGAAATGGAAGTGGAACTGTCTTCACAGCTCTGAACTTTCCAGCATTATTTAGATGCTCATTCTCCAACCTGCTCCATTCATTCAAATCAGAATTTTATTTTAGTCAGTCCCCTTCTCTAATCCAATATGCTAAATGGGTATAAAGTATCATATCAGATCAAGCTCCATGAATAAGGGAAAAGAAAGAAAGATAGGAAGAAGAAGGGTTCTTTTTTTTCTCACCTATAGAAATTCCAGTGGCCTCTTCTGATGACCTCTAAAGCAGCCAAGAAGAGTCCCGTTACCCGGTAATCTACGTGTTCGAAGCTCGAATGTAGAACCGTTTGCAACCAAGCTAGCCTCAGAACAAGGTTTAACCCCTGCAGAAAGTTCACCGCCAAAACACTTGATTAGATACTTTTCCTGTTTTTGTTCATAGTGGTGACTCACCTAAACAGAAGCACAATACATTGTTCTCATTTCCATTGTACTTCTCAAAGGAATAAGGTTCTGTTCTTTGTTCAATCTAAGACATCTTAAACAGAATAAGGTTATTGTTCTTTCTTGCATCAAAAGATCTCATCATCCATTTTGGTGAGGTGTGTAGATAAATGCAACTAGAGGGTGGTATCAAGTTCTCTGTAATGTGTCAATAGGAGATTAAATTATACCATGGAGAAATAGTAAATGAATTTTCGTCGCAGCATCAATTCGTTCCTCAGCCATGGATTCTTGGAGTCCATCTGGAGCAAGCCCCAGTCCTTTACAAAGTCCCAATACAACTGGTAAATAGTTGCAGCACTCGACATGGCAACAAGAACACATAGCCATCCGACGCTGCTGTCTTTCTCATAGGCCACTTTGGCTCCTGCTGCTAACATTGCTGATACATACTTTCCAAGATTTACTAGGTGGCTTGTCTCCCCTTCATCGAACCATCTCCTTGCACACTGCAAGCGAATTATGTGAATCAATAAAAAAGTTGTATAACTTCAAATGGACTAACTAATAAGAAAGATGACCTGGTTGACGAATCGTTGTGTTACCTGCATGGCTCGCCAGTAGTAGGGTAGGAAGGAGACTGCATAAGCAAGATCGCGGTAATACTTGGTCTTCATGCAGTAGTTATAGTCTTGGTTTTTGTAGCTTCCTGTTATGTAGTAGCATGCTACATATTCCAGGTTCCTTAGCATTGGCACCTGCAAAATTCATAAGATTAGTACTACAGTTTCCTTAAGCAACAAGTTACCTATCGATGAGGCCTTTTCAGGCTCTTGTAAAGTAGCTTGGAATTCTAACCTGGCTACAGAGTTGATCTGCCATGAAGAAATCCAGCATGACAACCTTGTACAGTGGTGACAAAATGATGTTCCTTATGACGCAGAGGAATCTGTAACGACTCGACTTGTAGAAGATGTTGAAAGGGCAGACTAATAACCCAAGGAAGGCCTGCAGAAGAAGCAAAGAAAAAGAATATCATCAGTCAATATCCAACTGAAAAACAAGACTAGGGTTGTCATCATTCTAATTTTATTTGTGGTTACCAGAAGGAGAAGCCCCGGGATGGCTTGAATGTGGGAATAATAGGAGTAGCCCTTTGCAAGAATGGCGAGGTGACCAAGCATGACTCCGAGAACAATAGTCATAGCAGCTGTGCAGATCAAGAACACTTCTCTGTACTTAAGATCCTTGGTTGGTGCCAGCTCGAATATGAAGGCGTAATTGATCCTTGTTTTCTTCCACATCAAAATGTTGCAGCCATACATGAAGAAATGCAAGAACGTGAGGCTGAACATGCTGCAAAAACATCATACATAGCAACATAAGTCCCACTTTTCTTATCATAAAGAATTAAATTATTGCATCTTGGATTTTGAAAAACTGGTCTAAGAAGCTTGCCTTAGGACTGGATATGCAGTCTCCATATAGAATGTTGTGTTTGATTGCCTTGGTTGCGGTCTGTACATTCCGGTGACATGAGCCATGATTACATATCCAGCTAGGAGGGCAATGAAGCACCCAGTGAATAGCCCTGTTCCATTTTTTACAGCAGATTAGGGCACAAAAATGTAACCCTGGTATGTGGTAAAATAAGTTAATTCATCAACACATAGTGCATGTCAGAGTTCAATTGAGGATACATTAGAATCAGAATCACATTCAAATGGCACCATGTGTGGTATGCATTTAGCATTTTAAGGCCATGGTGGAGGATAATATGAATTAACAGTACTTATTAAAACCCATTTGTTCACTAGCAGAGAGTGATTTGAGGGATATATGGTGAGTGAAGAAGGGAATATGCTTATTCTGTTGTGATTCTGTGGCCTGAAAGTAACAGACCAATAGGGTTGGACACAAAGCACATCACTTTGTTGAAAATGTTGAGGCAATCAACAGGCCAGGGTTTGAGATCTCCCTATACAATCATGGCAGTTTTTTTAGGGTCACAAATCCTTTGTATGAGACAGATAATGGTCTGTGACATGGAAAAAAAATGAAAATAGGAAAGGTAAACCAGGTACTGCCTGGCTACTAGACATTCATTCTGAACCCTCCTAGTGGCCTTTAGATGGGGCCATGCCATGCTTTTTTTAGTTTCTTTCCAATCTCACATTTGTTTGTAGTCCCTAAAGGAGAACAAGGTAACAAAGCAATTCCACCTAAAATCAATAACCGAGAAGCCACATAAAGGAAGGCCAAAAAGCCATATCAGGCTGCACAATTTCCATGCCACTGTGTGTGTGAGAGAAAGAGAGTTGTAGTTACTTTTTTCGTGTCTCCATATTATCGAGAAATCAAAGATACACAATTCACCGACACGAAATAACCCAAGATCGAAAGTGAAAACCCCACTGTAGCAGCAGGGTACAATGAAAGTGTCTTTCTTACCAATGAAGAATGTGACACTATGTGATTCTTTGCGCTGCTGTGGCTTAAGATATTTCATGGCTTTTCTTTTGTCTTCATCAGCAAAATGCTTCACAAACAGTTCTTCAACTTCATCTGCTAGATTCATCACCTGTCATTTCCCCCAAACCCACTAATCAGCAAAACCAACACCTTTTGTTTCTTATCATTTGCCATAGGCTTATGGGGAAGAAAAAAAGGAATGACTGGCTGAAAACCATCTCAAAGTGAGGGACAAGAAGATCTGGAGTTACAATCTTCCATAAAGGCATAAACATATATGTGTGTGAATTTCAGGATCATCAGGCACTTCACATTGTCGGCAAACAAGAATCAGACTAGGAAACAGACTAATGGAAACCAAGCAAACATCTCATCATTCCTTGAGTGGAGCCAATCAATGTTTTTGCAGTGTTGTGGTGATTGGTCTATGTTAGCCAGCCTATGAAGATCATAGCCTCAAGATAGATTTTTACTTGATTTACAGCATTCAATCAAGTTAACTTTCCTTTTACCTTGTCAGAGCTGTTGAAGTATGAGCTTTCAACAACTTTGAGGTAGATTGGAAGTACTTGTTTGCCAGTCACCTGAAGAGGAGTAACAACAAAAACACCCATCTCTTTCATTAATCCTAAACTTTAACTTTTTGACCAAGAAAAGGGTTGATACAGAAAGCAAGAAAGAAAAGAACTTGCATTACCTTGTCAAACTTTTTCAAAATCTTGATGAAAGCTAGCATGTTCAAGTTCCTGAAACAAGTTGTAACAAGGACCAATGCTAAGTAATCTTCTAAATAACTCTTTGCAGAAAGCTTCTAACTTTAAACTAAGACATAATGAATTGGTAACTTAGTTGAATTTACCTGTAAGTCTTGAGGTAACCAAGGCCTTTATAGAGCTCAATGAAAGCTCCCCTAATCATCTTCTCAGCATGATGCAACTTTGTCTTGTTGATGTGAACAGGAAGCCTGCTTCCTTCAGGGTTGCATTTCTTCGAAGACATCGAATTATCTCCCCAAACCAGATAGCTGATTGCAGAGAAAGTGCGCAGAGGTGTTGTCAATGGAATGTTGAGCCTCAAGTTCTTGCCTTTGCAGCTGAAAACCCGACCCGATATTGTTCTCATCTTCATATCCTCTCTCTTCATTCTTGGAGAGTCCACTGCTTCATCACCACTAGCCTTCTCTGACTCATTTTCCTCTGGCTCCTTCTCTTCTTCTACTTGTTCTTCTTCTCCTTCTGTTCAAACGTTTAAACATTTGAAGGGTAATTAGAAACACACAAAGCTTAAAGTATTGACCATTACAAGGGTTTTGATTGGTAAACTATGCTCAGTGTAACACAATCATCACTAAAGTCATTGACAATGCTGATTAGGCATACTTTAACTGAAAAAAAATATGAGGCAGAGTTAAGGGGAATGATCATATTTGGTAACTATCTGATAAATGCAAGTGACCAGATTGTTATATTTTGAAGTCAGTGACGATTTTGGTACAGGAGAACAGTATACTAACATATGAACTGAAAATTGGTCAACAAGTGCAGTACCACAGGAAATGGTGCAGGAAATGGAAGGATCATCCTTAGAATCCTGAGGCAGAGAAGAACTCTTGTTGTGGTGGGTTTTAAGGGCAGCCTTGAGATGAATGAGAATGTCCATTTGTTTCTTGAGGCATTCCCCTCTCTCCACAAACTCCTTCTCCTTGGACTTGAAGAATTGGTTCACTTTGTTGAGCTGCAAATCAAGGCAGGCAAAGAAGTCCTTCACAGCAACACTGTCTTCAAACTGATCCAGCAGTTCGGTCTCGTATGTGTCGCCTTTGCTGAGTGTGGAGGCCAGCTTCTTGTGAACCTGTTGATCAAACATGATCAATTGGAGAAACTACAGAAATGGATTGATGGAAGAAAGATAGAGAAGAAAAGGGTTATATGTACTTGAATGGCTCCATGGCTGTGGTGCTGCTCTCTATGTCCATGGGCCAAACTATGAGTGAGTTTCTTAAGAGAAGCAACCAACTTGGTAGCCAAGTTGTTGCAGCTAATGCCATTGCTGCTGTTTCTGTAGTTGTTTGGTGAAGTGGTGGTGGTGTGGTGGTGATCATGGTGATAGAACTTCTTAAGGTCTTTCTTGAGTTGCCAGTAATCAACAAATGCTTCTTTCCACTCAGGAACAAGCTGACCCTCAAACTGCTTGGAGAATTTCACCATTTTTTCCCCCTCTTTTAAGAAGTTGTGGTATGTGGGTTTTTGGTTTACTACTCCAAAGGGGTGAAGCTGCTGGGTAGAAGAAGTGGTGAGTGGTGTTTTCATGGTGGAGCTAATGAAACATGGTTATATATATATAGAGTAGAATGGAGATGGGGTAAAGAGAATCATTCTCTGATTGATGTGTTCTTTTTTCCCTAACGCAGCACATTCTCAAATATCCTCCTTCCCCTCCCTCCTATTCAGCTGCCACTATATCTAATTATCTATATATATATATATGCCTGTGGCCAAAATGATTCGCCGGAAGGAACTTGTCCAAACCGCCGCCGCCGCCAACAGGTGGTGGTGGTGGTGGTCATGGCAAGATAATGGAGATTTTGTACAAGTGGAGGGCAGGATGCATGATGCAGATTTCCAAGCTAGGGCATGATCAAATGGACCATCTTGAATTACCTTTGCTTTCATTTTTTGCTCTCTTTTTTTTTTAACTTTTGTGCCTTTTGGACATTAAATTGCTTGTTCCAGTTTAGGAAAATGGGCAATTGCACAGAGAGATTTCCTTTGGGGGAACTCAAGCTAAAAAAGAAATATTGGGGATGATGAGGTCAGAATTTGTAGAAGGGGTTATTGTTTTGAATTGAATTGCCTCTCAATCAGTAGAGTAGCTGTTGATATGAGTACAAATATACTAAAATTGATTTCACTATGGAAAAAGGAGGTGGCTGAAAGGAACTATGTGATTGACTAAAGAGATTGTGGGGAAAAAAAATTACTTGATGCACACCCATAAAAGTAAATTGCAAACAATGAATCAGGAAAAAAAAAATCAAATGAGACAACACCAATTTTATGCTTTAATTCGACATGACACCAATGCACTGAAAGATTTTCACTAACTTGTCTTATAATTGATTGTTTTTTTTTTTAAGAACAATTGATCATTTTTAAAACGTATACGAGTCTTTGATTGATCACTTAAACGCACCAAAAGAGATTTGAATAAATCATAACAAGGAGAAAATGAAAAGGCTAGCAGATGATCAACTCATAAGTCATAAGCACTTTTCTTGTACAAATCAACAAAAATGAAAGTGGTAATCTAATGTGAGAGTTTCTGTTACGTGCCCAAGAAAACATCTATATCTTCATTGTCATCTTCAACCAAAAGATCAGCCAACTTGATACACACTATTATTGTCATTATTCTTAATTTTCTATTTCTTAAAAGGAGGCACTCACCAGTTTCATACAGGAAAAAACAATGTACGTGCATAAAAATTTGGTGCATAACCTACTTTTACATAATTATGTATGATCATATTAAGGCAATATGATTTTTATTATAGTGATGCGATATATCGTACTATAATAGTAAAAAGTATATCACTCAAGATAAATAGGGGCTATGCAGAGTTATAAACTTGATTCGGTCTCGCATATATAATAGCATGTTGAGAATAAATTTCAAACTATAAACCATGCCACTCTCCACTAATGTATATACCATCAAACGAAAACACAACTTTGATATTATCGTACATTTTATCATATGATAACGCTTATGGTTATTAAATAAAATGAATCATAAAAAAGCTATCTTATGATTTTGTTTTTTAAAGTCATGCTCCATTTAGGACAAAATCTTAGTTACGACAATCGTCAAGGTATCATGACATAGTTGTAACTCAAACTTAATGTTTTTTTTTTTACCATTATTGTATTATGTTGTGATATGTTCTTCTGGATTTGACCCATTTGCAATCTAAATTAACGATTTTAAAAGAAAAATAGTTTCTATGGACTCCATTTCTTTTTGCAACGATGTTTTGGTAATCGTAAATCCTATAAATAAGAAATCAATATGTTTTTTTTATTCGGTGTGAAAGTGACGATTTGAATCCATCAATCCAACAATTTATTCACTAAAAATCCAACTAATCCAATCTTAAATCCAAATCCAATAGATCGGTGTATTTATGAATTGATTTTAGTTCCTATAGATTTTATATTTTACAATTTGATACACAAACCTTGAATTTTAATGCAAAACATACTTCAAAAACTACCTTCGGTCCCCAAATTTTTTTACAATCACATTTTAATACTTAAGATCTTCAAAATTCTCATAATGGTCCAAAATTAAAAGTCACTTGGACACATAAATCACATCCACAAATCCATTTAATCCAATCAATAAATCCATCAATCAAATCCACATCGAATCCATTTCTCACCTCCGGTAACTAGTATAATCCTAACAACACCAAACACCCTGTGGGTAATAGTGCATACTGCACATGATGATCAGAATCTTCCATTTTCTTTGAGATTGCTAATTCTTTTTGGTGGGATTAAGAATATGATGCTCTCTAGCCACCATAACGCTTTACATTACTAATGGACACGGGTTTGGTTTGTGTTTTGTGGACTGTGTTAATGGATATATTGGATATACGCATGGCATAACCTCTATATACTTGCAATTTTTATTCTTGCTTGTTAGATCAATAAAAGTGCGACTCTCGTTATACAAATGCTACTTGCAGAATACCAAACGACGGATATATATAGAGTTGCGGGAATCATTCGTATGGACTCTCAACCGGTTCATAGTTAGCTAGGTTTCAGAAGGAGTGTGGATGATTTATGGGCTACAGAGAAGGCTCTCGAGCTCAAAACCAGTTACTCGGTGTGTCTGCGTGGTAGGCACATCACGTGGTTGGCGTGTATTATGTTGTTATCTGTTCGGCAATGACTCATAAAGACATTATAGACAATGAGTGTTATCTAAACAAAACATCGTAACGCACAACCTGAATACCGAATAAAAAGAGGCTATCTAAACCAGGGAACATGGTCTTAAATAAAGTATGTCTAGCCTTGAGTTCTCTTATGAGGTCACCTAACTTGAAAAGAGCAAGAAGAAAAGAGGTTATCTTAACAGCACATTTTGCAACCCTTGTCCCTTCTCAACTTCCTACAAGAGGAAAACTCGAAAGAGAGAATTTCTTAAGCACTCAGTATATTTGCCTTGAATTAGTCACCAACCTCCAGCTGAGAAATTTTATGTTTAATTTTGGGGCCAAGAATAAAGAAGAGATGCAAAAGAGAGCAAGCAACAAGGCTTGTAGCTAGTTTTACAGAAAAGGGGTGGTTTTTGAAGTGGGAATTGGGACCAATTGTAGGACATGGAAATGAAGGTCTGATTCAGATAGCATTGTTGGGTATTTTGGTGCCCCCTTGCCTTTGCTACAATGTCTGGCCTTCCCTTTTGGTAGGGTTGAAAACTGGCTTGACTTGTTCTATATGCACCTTTGATTCTGTCTGACCCCCTTTGGAAGAGTCAACTTATATAATTAATACGCCCTTATCTTTATTTATTTTTTTCGACTCTCTCTGGTCCTCTAGTATCGAGGCAGGACAGGTCGGGTCATGGGTCGGCTCAAATCAGTACACTGATTGTTTGAAAATTACATTTTGGTATTCAAATTTTTATTTACAATTTAGTACCATAAGATTTTCTTACAAATAGGTCCCAAAATTTTAAAATTATGTTTTAGTGAATTCATATTTTTTTTACCTTGCATTATAGTACATAAGCTTTTAAAACTTTACAAACATATCCAACTACTCTCGAGACGCATCCTGAAATATCCTCAAAAGCAAGGCTTGAAAAACCGTACCGTACCAGTGATTTGACCAGAAAAACCTCCTATCGGAACAAAACCAGTAGGCAGTATTTAGCGGTACGAAATGGTTAAATCACGACTAAACCACAATTTCAACATCAAATATCCTACCGTTGATTTTTTTAGTACAATGTTCAATACGATTTTTCAATCTTTGCTAGCAGGCAGTACCGCTCAAATTATTATATTTGAGCTCGAGTTTAGTCGAGATAAGCCATTTTACATAGGTTTAAAAGACAAATTGGGATTCCTTAATTATTTGCATTGTAACTGAAATAATTTCATCTTATTCATGCTCTTATTCTTTATTCTTTTCTGTTTCAACGAAATTTCTTCACCACAATCTATACCACCTCAACATTCGACACTTTACGCAAATCATTCGATTTGCACATCATTTAGGCCTTGTTTGCTTGAGGGTTTTGATCATGTATTTGGTACATGAAATCCAAATCAAATGGACTTGTGACCAAAACCTTTTTATGCTTGATGGAATTTGAGAAAATAAATATGTGGGGCCCACAGATTTTGAGGTACCAAATCCGTGGGGCCCATGGACTTGAAAAAACCAATCCAAAAGGTGAGATTTGGGATATGCATATGCTACAAAGTCCATGATGGTTCTTTACCATTATTTCCCTTTTTCAAATAGTGGATAGGTGAGAAAGAAAGAGAAAATGAGAAGCGACAAACATTCAATTAAATGTCAACTCACCATTTTCTAGCATTATAATTAATATCTTTCAAACTGTAAAAAAAATTAAACCTATATCACCTGTAAAAAAAAATGTGGCCAGGTCCTTGGCTTCGTTAGTTTTAATAAATACTGAAGAAAATTGGACTGAATCAGCATTTGGACCGGACCAAACTGGGCCAAATGTAATGGTTGCCCGGTCCTTAGTCCTAAGATCGTTGTCTTTCATCATTGGACCACGATGAGTTTGGTATGATCAGAACCGAATTGTTGCACACCCTCTAAATACATATCTATTGATTAAGTCGTCACAACGCTTAAGATCACGAAAATACGTACAATTCTATTGATTAAGTTGTCACATGACAGCAACTATAGTACTAATTTATATGGTTACCAATCCGATCGATCTTAACACTCCTAAAGTAATGGTAATGCATGCGAGCTCTTCTAGTGTGCTCTATAGCACCCATGCTATAAAAAATAAAAAAAAAAGGTGACCTGTTGAGGAGGTAACCCACTAAATGACTGGTCCCACATCATTAATGGCAATCTTGTAAATAATGAATCAGTGTATACAAGTGTAGGTACAAATTAGAGTTGTACCATATAGTATAGGTACAAGTTTCAGCTGTACCATTGAAGAATTTGTTTCACAAAGTGTAGGTACAACTTAAAGTTGTACCATTAGTATACGTACAATTTTTAGTTGTACCATAAAGGGATTTGTTAGAAAGTGTAGGTACAACTTAAAGTTGTACCATGGTATAGGTACAAGTTCGGGTTGTACCATAAAAGAATTTTGAAAAAGTGTAGGTACAACTTAAGGTTGTACCATTAGTATAGGTACAATTTTGAGTTGTACCA